CAAAATTTTCGAAGTGACTTCCACCCTAAATTTCAACGTTAACACCTTAAAAATATTTGTTTAGAATAATAAAAAAAGGCTCCCGAAAAAACTCACGAGATTTAATATCTCTACCGGACTATGGTATTAAGTTCTATATTTCCTTACACAGACAAGCACGATTGGAGCTTATGTGTGTCTACCGTATGATCGAAAAAAAAACGGCGTCCAGTTGGCTGGGAAATGACGATCGATGACATTTCCCATATAAATTTACATATAAAATGCCAGCGATCTTAATTTCATAGCCATCCCTAACACCCTTTTAATTCGATCATATGGTAGTTTAGCATTGTATTTTTGAGAAAGAGAAAATTTAATAAAAAGGTTTTACATTTTTGATATTCTGATTTTTTTGTTATTGCTTGCTTTACCACGTTACCGTAGATGGAGCTAAGAAGGCTTAGGTAGGGTATATAAAAATAAATAAACAAAATCCGAGTAGCGGAAAAAGGGGCCAAAAAACCCTACATATATGCTTATTCTCTGCATTAAGTTCATCAGACCGAAGGGAACAGCCATTCGACGACCGGCCGACTTTGCTGTAACCCTCGATCTGACCAACGAAAAGCAGAGAATAGCATTTGAGTACAAAACTTACTACTATGGCGAGAGTGCTAGACGCTCTACGCCATCTAGCGGCAGCTGAGACAATCACAGATCGTACCGCCAAAATTAAAACCAGCGGGCTACTGGACAAACATGCTTGCTTCATCCACGTTACCGTGCTAAGAAGACCCCTTTTGGCCCCTTTTTCCGCTACTCGTATTTTGTTTATCTTTATATACCGTCCCTAAGCCTTCTTAGCTTCATCTACGGTAACGTGGATGAAGCAAGCATGTTTGTCCAGTAGGCCGCTGGTTTTAATTTTGGCGGTACGATCTGTGATTGTCACAGCTGCCGCTAGATGGCGTAGAGCGTCTAGCACTCTCGCCATAGTAGTACGTTTTGTACTCAAATGCTATTCTCTGCTTTTCGTTGGTCAGATCGAGGGTTACAGCAAAGTCGGCCTGATGATGGAGAAAAATCTCCGAAACCGGTCGTCGAATGGCTGTTCCCTTCGGTCTGATGAATTTAATGCAGAGAATAAGCATATATGTAGCGATTTTTGGTCCCTTTTTCCGCTACTCGTATTTTGTTTATTTTTTGTTATTGTTTACTATTTGCTTCTATTTGCTTCGGAATGAATTGATATTTCCTATAACTTCTTCTTCTTCTTGCGGTGCCGTGCCTGTCTTCAGGCGCTGGCGATCTCCATGACTATTTTCTGGAAGAGTTCTATATCTTTCTGCTGCATAAAACAGCCCCTCCACCCCCAGACTGGTCCAGTTCCGTATATTTCTGAGCCATGACAGTTTCTTTCGACCTACCCATCTTCTACCTTCGACTTTTTCTTGAATGATCAAACGAGGAATATAATATCTGGTGCCACGCATTATGTGTCCGAAGTACCCAACCTTTCTGGCCTTGATGGGGTTAACAGTTCCCGATCTTTGTTGAGCTGTCCAAGAAGTTCTTCGTTGCTTGTATATTCGGCCCAAGAATCCTTAAAGATTCTCCGGTAGCACCACATTTCAAAGGCTTCTATTTTATTTATAGTCTCGACTTTTAGCGTCCATGTCTCGCATCCGTAAAGAAGAGTGGGCCATATGTAACAACGTAGTGTTCGCAATCGGGTTTGCAGTCACAGGTTTCTATTAGTGACTGTGGTATTCCATTTTTTGAATGTTCTACGTGTGTATATTTCAATTCTTGCTTTTACTTCTACGTCACATGTATTTTCACTATTTAGCCAGCTTCCTAAATATCTAAAATGTGGTACTTGTTCAATATTGTGTCCGCTGACTTTTATCGGGATTGGATTAATTTCTATTTTACCCACAAACATCCATTTCGTCTTCTTGATATTTATATTAATACCCCATTTGCAACTAGCTTCATGTACCCTATATAGCAACTTTCTGCGATAATGGCGATGTCGTCTGCGTACCTTACGGTTATTTATGATCTGGCCTCCAATTTTAACGCCTTCTATTCTGTCGGATAAAGCCTCGTTAAAAATGTTCTCCGAATACAAGTTGAATAATAACGATGACAAAACACACCCCTGTCTTACTCCTCGTTTTATTGGGATGTCATTTGTAGTTCCTTCATCGACCTTAACAGCAGCAGTTTGATCGTAGTATAAGTTTATACTAAAAGGCGCATGTCATAGTTGTCTACGTTATACAATTTCAGATGCCAAAAGAGCTCTGTATGTCTGACTCGATCAAATGCTTTTTCAAAGTCGACGAAGCAAACATAGATGTTCTTGAGAAATTCGCAGCACTTTTGAAACAATAGCCTCATGCAAATCAGGGCTTCACGTGTGCCTAGTCCGCTACGAAATCCAAACTGCTCTTTTCCGATGTTCTGTTCACATTTAGCAAATATTCGGTAGCATGATTCGGAGTTATAACTACCTAATGGTATTTTAATAATCACAGATTTTAACTTTCTTTTTTTCTTCATTTAAATATTTCGATGTGGCACATTTGAATTCCACAAAAAATACGTAACATTTTTTTATATTCAACAATAACGCTCTGAAATATTCATCGTATCTCGAAAAATGCGAACGTCATTTGGTGCTCTCCAGCTGTAGCGAATTTGAATAAAAAAGAATCGTATTAAAATTTCAAGCTGACTAAAATAAAAACACGCAAAATGCCGCGTCCGAATTAAAGTCTCCGGAAAAAAGCAAAATCTGAAATAGTTTCAAAGTGCTCTTCGGCATTAGTGCTCGCTGGAAAGTTAAGCTGGAAAAATAAAAACAAAAAGTTATCCCGTTGTCACTCAGTTACAGTCCAGCTCACTTTCGAGTCCAAAAAATATACAGACATAAATATATTATATTTTGTAAAATACTCAAAAATTTTAATATGCGAACATATTTTTACCGACCAAAAACTTTTGCCATTTTTTTTTCAGCAAATAAACAGAGTCCGGCAATAGAGCGTTCCTGCAACCGGCGGCATCTGCAGCTCCTAATAGTTATTTTTTATACAAGACGATAAAATGGTATTTTATCATCGACCGAAAAGATTAATTCACGAGCGATGAAATCGCCAGTGAATTAATTTCGGGAGAACGTAAGAGAGTTACGTTTTAAAAAATATTCAGAAAAAAATTATTTCAATGAATTTATTACGAGGAGAAAAAATATTGTGCTGGGTTGGCGTTGGTTTCTATGTAATTTGACAAATAAATAAAGCTGTCTCTTTAGTTGTCAGTTTTGAGTCAATATTTTTTAATTCTCTTTCGTGTCGATTGCTTATTGAATTGGAGCCAGAAATGACTCAAAACGAAATAAGTAAATTACACAACAATTCAGGCTGAGGCGACCAACGCCAAATCCAAACTACTTCCATTTAAATCCCGAATAACTTATGAAAAGGAATACAAAAATTTTCAAAAATGGAAGCAATTAAAAAACGTGCGAGAAGAAATAAAGTTTTTAATCTGTCCTCGCTGTTGTATCATTTAATCTCCCCTTGCGGTTAAAGTACTATTTTATCTACTATTTTTGATAGATATAAGGCAATAATAACAGTTGCTATGGAAAAAAATAAAAAAATAAGGAATTTTGTTTGTTTGAAATGCAAATCTAAAGTCTGTTTTAGGATGTTTTTCAGGAAAATAATTTAACATGCAGGGTGGCTCTAAAAATTGATCGGTATGATTTTTTTTAATGGGACTCCCTGTATATTATTGCATTTTTGGCTTTCTCCCTGATCACTTTACATAATCCCATAATATATTTTTAAATATATTTTGATAGTTTCAGAGATATTAATAAATTAATAAAACCATATATATATTTTCAAACTGTTTAAAAAAAAACTATTAAAAATGCAAGAAGTGTCCTGAAATCGAAACTATATTAGATATTCACTACTAAACAAGATATTTATTATGTACTTACTTTGCTATAAATATGGTAATCTTAAATCATACAGGATGTTTAAAATTCTAAGCCAAACTTATTAAAATATAAAATAATTTTTCTTCGATTTTTTAAATGCTATTGTATAATATTTTTTCGCCTTGTATTTTATTTTTTTATTAAATGGAGAATTAAAAAAACACACTTGTTGTATTTAGAGTATATCAAAATGTTTAAGGACTTCACAGATACTCGGGGTATTATTTCATATGGCTCTTTCAAAAGTTAAATACGAGAGAAAAATCATTGAGTGGCTTTGATAAAAGTTTACTGTGAAAAATGGCCATGTGAAATATAAAACCGCGAATATCTGCGAAACCTTTAAAAATTTTAAAATACTCTAAACACAAAATATGTTTATTTTTTAATTCTCCATCTACTTAAAAAATAATATACAGGGTGTTTAAAATGTTTAAACATACAAAGAAAATTTATTCTATATTTTAGAAAGTTTGGCGTAGAATTTTGAACTATCTATAATTTAAGATTACCATATTTAGAGCAGAGTTAGTACACACCATCTAAAGTAAATGTATAATATAATTTTGATTTCAGGACTGTCTAAACATAAGGAATATTTTGTTGATGTTTGACTATCAAAATCTTAAAAATAAAGAAGTTATCTAAAAATATGCTACAATACGGATATAGTATAATCTTTATCTTCAAAAAAACTTAAATACCGAACGCTTATTTTGCTACTTTTTCGGACTAGTCAAATGGACTCTTAAATAATAGGTATTTGAACTTCAACTAAATATTGATGTTAAACACTTTAAACCAATATATTGTACCTGCTGCTAGTGCAGATTGCTACTATCTGCTATTAATAAAACATTCTCCTCTACTTTTAAACTGATACAATATGAGATCAAAATCCCAACCCTTCAACAGTAAGGACAAAATAGAATATTTTAATCATAGGGCCACTGTCCGTTGTACCTTTTTCACCAAAAATTTCCCTTTATTTTTCCAGATGTTCCGGTCGTAACGTTAAAGATGGGTTCGACCCTAAACCCGCAGGACATCAAGGAGGGCGACGACGCTTATTTCGAATGCAACATAAGGGCCAACCCCAAGGCCTACAAGCTCTCCTGGTTTCACAATGTAAGTATTTAGAGCGAACGGCAGAGAAACGAGGATTTCGAATTTTTCACTTGCCTTCTCTCTTTCGGGGAAGAACAGCAGAAATTTAAATATTATTTGCGTGGAACAGTTGAGCGCCGAGTCTTGTTTTGCGGCCTGTTTGAATGAAATTAAAGTCGGTGTCGTATAATAAATGAGGGAGGTTAGGCGTGTTGCTATTGTTGATTTTGGCCGGGGGATTTTAATAAAAGGACATTTTAGAAGGTTGGGTGGGGTTAGACAATTTGAGTCAAAGACTGATTGCATAAAACAACATGAATTTCTTTATGATATTTTATTATCAAAGATTTAATTAACTTACTTACTTACTTACTGCCATTACTCGCTAACAAGTATTTGACATGCATCAGAAGATGGTTACGCCTACTGATTCTGCATGCTTAACTCGTTTAAGTTTTGTTGGAAAATATCCTTGCACCTTTTGATTTGTCCACCCGGTTTCCTTTGACATTCTGCAAACTCGTAAAGAAGAGATTTTGGTAGTCTTTTTTCTTGCATCCAACCCACCTTAAGTGGGATTTATTAATCATCATGAGTTCAGCACTTTTGCAGCTAGCTTTTTCAAGGACTGATACGTTTGAAACATGGTGGAACCATTTGATTATTAACAGTTGTCTAAGGTGCCTCTGTTGAAACTTCTTTAATACATTCATGTGCCGGCGCGGCGCCGGCGGTGCGGTACCCAGGTTTTGCTTCCATATAACATGGTGGGGATTATTATTGCTCGGTACACTGCAAGTTGTACTGAAATCATGATTGTAGAATCAAACTGCCGAGGTAATTGAATTCCGCTACATAACCCACTAGTTGGATTTTTATAGCACAGTTGTGATTTTCTTGGGGAGCGCACATGATTTTCGTTTTATCGATGTTTAGCTTAAGGCTCAAAGCCTGGTATGCCCAGGTATATGTGTTCAGCATTTCTTGTAATTGCTGTAACGTTTTTGCAACTAGAGCGCAGTCATCAGCGTATCGAAGTACTGTGATGAATTTTATACGTGTTTTGCCCTGAGTTTTCTTATCTTGAACAGACCGCCGTCGTATCTGTAGCTAACGCCCATTCCTTTTCCCTGCAGTTTTCTGTCTACTAAATAGAGAGTACTACTATGTGTATGTTGAATAAGAGAGGCGCTAAGACACGTCTCTGTCTAACTCCTGTATTTGTCAGGTAGGTATCCCTGTGACAGTCTAGACTTCTTGTTATGGAGGCACTGTAATGTATGGATACACACTGTGAGAAATTAACAAATTTCTATTAGAGTACTCAACAGGGTACTCCAAACTTTTGCATAATTGCCCAAAGTGCATCTGTGTTTACACAATCGAAGGTTTTTGTTAGTTTGATGAATGCAACACAAAGTTGACTCTGCTGCTCCTTTACTTTTACCTATAGTTGGCGGACGAAGAATATAGAATCAACAGTACCGCGGTTAGTACGAATAAGGTAGTTTCCGCAATCTGATGCACTCCTCTTGTTCTTAATTATATTCACTATATTCGCGTTGTGAAAGTCTTCAGATAACTCTCCGCTTTTCCATATGACATCGAATAGAGTCTTAAACTGACCAATAAGTTCTTTACTTGCACACTTATAGATTTCCCCCGAGCCGGTTTGATTTCTTGTTTCTCTTTTAGAAATTCCCTTTTTTTTGTGTCTTGATTGGGCAGCTTACGTTCTTGGTTGGGCCATATATTTCTTTTACAGTCTCTGTTTTAAACTGTTTTTACGTCTGGAACTACGCTAAGGAGCGATTTTTTTACGCTAAGAAACGAGCCTTTGATTTTTAGGACGTAGACTAAAATTCAACCATATTTTCATGTTTTTTTTTTAATTTTCTCTAAAACAGTATTGAAATTTAGGAAAGTATGAGCAGAAATGGATTAACCATTTTAAAACTACCAAAAATTTTTATGGAGAAAGCATTTTCCCCTAAATGTCAATAATAAAATACTGTTTCCTCTTGTAAAGACAATCCGGGGACATACTGTATATCGGAAACGTTGCGTAAGTAAAAATAAACAAAGACAATGGAAGTCCGAAATTCGTTTAGTATCATTACTGAATCATTGCCTACCACATTCAAAGAAATAATAAACAGGCTGAGTCTTAAATAAGTGCAAATATTTTTAGGGCTGGCAGATATCGATAAAATGAACATATTTGCTTTTTTTCAGATAAGTCTAAAATAATCCACATATTTTATTTTAAAAATTTAAAAAAAAATATATTTTTTGCTTAAATTGACGTGCAAAGACGTATTTCTGTGTACCACCCCTAAAAATATGTGCACTTATTTACGACTCACCTTGTATATGCATTGTCAATAATTATAATAGGCCAATAGAGGTAGAAGTAAACATTACTGATAGTAGGCCGTTCGTCTGCCAAACACTTTCCTTTAGTAAAATATTTTGTATGATATTAATAATTTTTTTGTATGCTTTTTTAAAAACTTATATTTTTGGGAGATATTGTATAATATATAATGTCTATGTGATATATGAATAACTCTTTTAACCATATATTTTGTACTTCCAGAATGTGGAGATTTATCAGAACGTCACAGGAGGTATAATCCTGAGCGACCAAAGTTTGGTTCTTCAAAATGTTGTAAAGTCAACTGCTGGCGAATATACCTGTGTGGCTACAAATTCAGAAGGAAGAGGAACCAGCAATCCAGTCAAATTAATTGTGAAATGTAAGTGCCAATATTTTATATATTCAGTTAACTATTTTATAAAAATTGTTAATGATGACATTATTCGGTTAATATCATAATTTTAAAAACTTTATTGACGTTATTAATAAGACAGACTATCAATTGCCTCAAATTATGGCTATGTAATGAAAACGTTTCTACTAAAAGTTAAATTCTTTAATTTTTGAATATATTGCCCAACAAACATTTGAAAGTAAAATTACCTTAAATTAACCACTTGGACTATTATTGACCAACTGGAAATTGGTCGAAATTTCCAAGAATTGACGTTAAAAATCCCAAAGTGGGGAATAAAACTAAAGTAATTTGGAAGTTAATAACAGGTTAACAGGTTATGATGTCTTGTATGAAATGGCTATGAAGTCAAAAATAACCGACCTGAGGTAATGTAATGGTAAAATAGAGGTGAATTTTACTAAAAATAGTCCTAATTTATACTACCTACATTTTAACATGGGAAAGAAAGAGAAAGAATAAGGTAAAGTATTTTTCTTTCGTCAACCTCCATACAGTAATACAACTTATTTTCAACCCGTTCTAGAACAGTCTGAAGAACTTGCGAGGTCACTTCGCAACAAACATCAATAATTCGTCTTCGCAGGTCTTCTAATGAGGCGGGTGGAGTGCTATACACTTTACTTTTTATGTGTCCCCATAGAAAAAAGTTTAAAGGAGTCAAGTCGGGTGACCGGGGAGGCCACTCAATTGCACCCCTTCGCCCTATCCACCAAACGGGAAAGTTATTATATTAGTTCCGCTTCAACGTATCCAGGATTGTTCTCTATGATGTCAGTTAGGGCTGGGTCGATGGTATTTTCCAGTAAATCCAAGTACATATCACCTGTTAGATTTCCAGAAAGAAAAAAATAACTCACAATAGAATTTCTAAAAATACCAGCCCACACGTTCAATTTCTTAGGGTTTTGTGTGTGCACCTCGTGAAAAACCCTGGGGTTGTCCTCAGCCCAGTACCGACAGTTGTGCCGATTAACTACACCTTTCAAAAAGAAAGTACACTCTACCTAACCCGATCGTTCATCCTTGTGGCAAGTGAAAAAATGCGTAAACATCTAGAAATAATAAGAAAAAAGCAGCAAATTGGTCGAAGGAATTTATCCTTATCATTTACTCTGATAAATGTTTAAATAAACTTTTCAAATTTCAATCCTTCATATTTTCTCAATGGCTGGACCGATTTTCAAAAACGAAGCGGGAAGTATAGAGAATAGAAAGCCCTTTTCAATGCGGTACCACTTGACCCCCCTTCCCATTTGAAAAAAATTGGGGGATGTCACCCCCGCTTAGAGGGTTGAAGATTTCGCAATCATTTTTTGGGGCAAAAATTGCTCCCCTCACAAACAAAATTGACGTGTTTTTGAATTTTCTGAAAAAAAAAATTACCCTGGCTGTTATGCCTTGCGGAACGTTTTCGATGGGCCACCCTGTATATACACTTCCTAGTAAATGTAAATAAGTTATTGGTAAGAAGTGGATTACTGGATTCCTAAGATAATTATGTCTGCGGAGAAAATTTTTCTGTGAGATGTAAATATGATGGGCCCTAAAAAATTATGCGCCATTAAAATGTTATGTATTTTCAACAATTAATTTTAGAATAAATCGTTATTTTCAAGGTTCTAACCTAACTTTTTTTCAGCTAACTTCCTTGGTACACTTTTAAAGTTCTTAATTAGTTAATTTAATGTATGGTAGGTAGTATTATTCATAAACGTCTATTTATTTTTCTCAATAGTTTAGAACAATATCACAAAAAATTATTTTTGAAAACAAATTGGATAAGAAAATGGCCGCTAATGGTGTTTTTAACTATTCGTCTATGAAGTTAGCTTTTCCATAATTTTAAAACCTTAAAGTCCGCTTTCTTTTTATGAGGTTAAGATTTCTTTAAATTAATAACCTCAAAGGTCAAGATTTCTTGCTTAAGGTATTTTTCCTTCAAGGTGCAAGTTAAAAAATGGGCTATATTAGGTTGAAGTGTTGACCACATTGTTGAAGTATCGCCGATAAAACAGAAAACTTTTATTTTCTTTGAGTGACAGTGACAGTTGACAATGATATTTAATGCTAAGTTCGGTAATTATATCATCGAGCAATCCGATTAACTTTTCACAGTAATCATGATAATCTTTATTGAGAGTCACGTGACATGTCAAATTTTTATTCCTTTGCTGGCCGATGCAATTACCGAACTGGCCTAAACTAGTACACTAACTAACTAGAAAACTAAATTAGTTTTCTTTGCTGATTATTTCTAAAAGTTTTATGTTTTCGGATTGTGAGTGCTATTACAGAGGACTTTTTGTTTTTATTGCACATAATGGACACGTTTAAGATTGCGGCGGTAATAAAAAAGAAACGCATTGAATATTCTTTCGTTCCCCACCAGTGGGAACACGGTAATGTGCTATCTCTGAAAATCTGAAAACTTTTTTAAACGGAAATCACACCGAGGAAATTAAAAAAGGTAATTTTTAAACTGCCGTATGTCTGACTTTCTTCCAAGTCAAAAAACTAAGTTACTTTTACCTTTGAAGCATAATAGCGGTTGGAGGTCGAAATAAATTTTCAACCTAATTTGAACTCCTCCAAATAAGGTCTCATTTAAAGTTATTAACAACTAAATTTTAACCTAACTTGAAAACCAAACAATGCCTTCGACCCCCGAGACAAATTTGAGGTTATAATAAAGTAACATTAAACCTACTTTAGGTCCCTGTAGTCTTAATGCCCTCAATATCAGTAACTAAATTTTAACAATGCCAGCTAACTCCAACGTTGCTACTTTTCAAAGGTATAATTGTAGGTTATTATTAACTAGTTTACGACCTCATTTTTAGATTTCTCGCACTTTATTCCCTACAAGAAATTCATTAAGTTAAGTATAAGTAAAATTCAACTAAATAGTGGTTAATTTTCCGTGATCAATGGCTTTTTCTCCTTCCTATGCTAGTTGGGTGTTCCTTCAAAAAAAGAGGAAGAACATAAAAATAAACACAGTTTTTCGGAGACAAGATCAAAATATAAACGTATAAGACAATCTATGAGAATAAAATACTAAAAATATTGAAAGAGGCAAAATTTTAAAAATATTTTATTAATATTTTTAAAATTTTGAAATTTATAATTTATTTTTTATTAAGAACTTTATACTAACTTTTACATATTAAAAGCAGTAATGGATAAATGGGTTTTTGTTTTTCCTTTTTTTCTTTTTGTGTTACTTATTTATACCGTAGTAAATTAATATCCCCTAATTTATAATTCAAAATGTTTACTTTTTGCTTGTTTATTATAAACTCTCTAATGCTACCGTTGTACGGTTGATGAATTTAAAGTACTTAGCTTTTTGCAAAGAAAAGGCTTTTATATAAAAACCCGAAATTATTTAACATAAAAACTCTTTTAATGGCGTTATTACTTAATGTAAAACAATGTTAAAGGCATTATGTTTTTGTCTGTATTTATTTTTAACTGGTTTCTAAATATTAGGTACAGAATGTTAAACTACAAAATATATATTAGGAAAATTTTTAAATAATATTTTGAGTAGTAATGAATGTATTAAAGATATTGATTAACAAATTCGAGTATTGATTAATAGAGAAGTGAAGAGAGAGAAAGAGAGAGAGAGAGAGAGAATTAATTAAGGTCGCGCCAATTGTGCGTGAGTAACTAAGGCTATTTAGCGACCAACATACAGGGTGTAACAGTTACATGAGTGCTACTTAATTTAGTGCTAAAAAAGTGTCGACAGATTTATCATGGACGTGCATAATATGCTATTTTTCTTATTATTAGAAAATGTGTGTAGTGTGTAGGCCATTTAATGCCGATTAAAAGTTGTATCTTGACATTTTGTCCATTTTAATCTGCTCTATGAGATAAACGGAATTCTGTTAATCACAATTAATAAAATTAAAATAACGAATTACATTAAATAAATAATTTATTAATTAAATTATTTTATTAATGTAATTCGTTATAAAATTTAATTAAAATTTATCACGCTTATGTACAGGGTGTCCCACTAAGACTAACTCCCACTAACTCGTAGAGCTTGCGGAAAATAATATATAAAGGGGCTATTATAAAATTGCTGGAAATTATTTTCAAGTTTGTAGAACGGCCGCTAGACGGCGCAGCTGCTATAAAAAAATAAGAAAATTGAGTTTTTACCCAATTTTGCCTATATAACTAGTACTATAAATAATAGCTTCATAATCTTCAGAAAATTTTGAATATTTTTTATTAGAACCATTTTCCCCTATCTGTCAAAAGAAAGTGGTGGGGGAAGGTTCGATCTGTTTTTATTTAAATATTAATAACTTTAGACTGGATAAACGGAATCCAACAAGCGAGGGCTCGTTTAAAAGAGAGTTTCTTTCTCTATATTATACCGTATAAACAATAATAATAAGCTTTTAAAATGTAGACGCTAGGGGACGCGGAGTTACCATTTAACAAACATTGCGCGTTTTTTAAAAAAAAGAAAATGCGATAGTATATGTAATATTAGCTGATGGTAAAGAGTAAGATAAGCTAAAATGTCAGCGAAAACGGCATCTTGATATTCTCTTTCAAACCAAAGATATTAGCAAAATTATAATAAATACGAAAAAATAAGCCCTTAATTGCCTTATTTTCATAACACTGTTACAGTAGCCCTCTGATTGTGTACCATTCTAATAAAAAATAAGATAGAAACGACTAGTTTATTCTAAAATCGACAATATACCAGAATACCATAATACTAGGTGTATTAATATCTAATAATTAAGATATCAATGACAATGAATAAGAAACGACGCCTCAGTGAATTCATGGTAGGCTTTGGCAAAAAGTTGCTTTTGACGTAATAATTTTAACATCAAAGTGTTATTAGATCAACATTTTAATAGTCTTAGCAGCGTTTTCTTCTCTTTTGAAGAAAACTGAACGAAACGCTGCTGAGACTATCA